AGCCGTTCCCCCTGTAAGATCCCCCAAACAATACTGTTTTCTGCTTCTTTTTTTTTTTTTTTTTTTTTCATTCTGCTCTATTATAGTAAACACACCTACTTCAAAAGATGATCTCAGTTTTAAGTCTGTTTACTACTTGGGGTATAGGAGTGGGTGCCCATCATCAGGTGTGACATGATGACCCAGAGGAAGATGAAGGCTCAGCCCCCACTCTCCGACGCCTATTTGCAAGGAATGCCAGCAAAACGCAGAAAGGTAATGTAGGGTGTGTGTTGTGAGGTGGCAATTTTTTTTTTTTTTTTCATATGACACATAAAATAAAATAACACATTTAAGTTCGGCATCACATTTTCAGACGGGACAAGGGAGTGCAGGCCTCCTCTCCCTGACTGATGCAGTGAACCAAGCAGTCAGAACAACCGGGGTAAGGCCCATCACCTCTGCTGAGGGACTGCAGGACGATCTGGAGACCAATGACACAAAGGAAGCGTACTCGGAACAGGTAACTGAGCTCGCGCCCACACGGACGGAGGTGTTGTAATTGTTTGCCCCTTTTTTGTCGAGTGTGATTTGAGTTTTACTTTTCATATTGATAATTTTATCGTTTGAATTTGTCCTAATATAAACAGAAATAACACGTACATCTGGTGTTCGTTATTGTTACGGATGGGGAAAAAAAAGTATTCATATTTAGGAATATTAGAAATATAATATTAGGAATCTTTGTTGTTAAAATGTTAACTCTGATTATATAATCTGATCTGACAAATGAAGTATTGTGATAACGTGTTATGTATGTGAGGTGAAAAAAAGTACTAAAAAATGTAATTGAGTAAAAGTATCTTTAGCTAAATTCTACTCATGTAAATGTTTCCCTCTTAAAATCTACTCAAGTAAAAGTTAAAAAAAAAAAACTTTATTTATTGAATTTACTTCAAGTATAGGTACTTGGTAAGTTTAAATGACTTGATGCAAAAAAAACAAAAAACAATGAGTCATACATCCACTCTGCAACTAGTTGTTTTTAATGAACAGTTCAAATACAGGTGGCAGACGTTGAGAATTCTATGATCCATTTAAATGCCCTTAAACACAGTACACCGTGTACTGTGTTGTCTTTAACCCTTGTGCGGTCCTTCGCATTTTTGTACACACCGTTTGTCCTTGCAGTGATTTTCATCATTGTCCCAGAATATGAGTATTGATGAATATGAGGAAAAGCTGGCACAAGTCATGCAGTACAGGAACATGCACACAGACACACACATACATATAGATACATATACATATATACACACATATACACACATATATATATATACACACACACATAAATATATATATATATACATATATATATACATATATATACACATATATAAATATATACATATATATATATATACACACATATATATATATATAAAAATATATATATATATATATAAATATATATATATATATATAAAAATATATATATATATATATAAATATATATATATATACATATATACACACACACACACATATATATATATATATACATATATATATATATACATATATATATACATATATATATACATATATATACACATATATAAATATATACATATATATATACATATATATATACATATATATATATATATATATTTTTATATATATATATATGTGTATATGTATAGGGCATTCCATGAACAATTTATTGTTGTAATAATAATAATTATAGGAGGATAAAAGTTTGCTGGATCGCCACATTTTTTAATATCAGTTTGAGTATTTTGATGAAATATTTGTCTACATCCCTAATATATATTTTTTTTCTTTTTTTCAGGTCAAAGCTGACATCAAGAAAAGGGTCAGAGAAGACCCAGACTTTGACTCCCAGCAGTTTCCCAATGCGCACAGAGCTTTCTCATCAGACTTCCAATAAAGCTGTCAAGAGATCTCTGGCCGTTTTATCTGTGTTTTTGCTTGGATTATTATTGAATAGCACCTGATACCATGTCAAACTGTTAGACACGCTATAATACTATTTTACCGAATAACATGTGGCTGCTTCTTCAGTGCCTATTTATTATTATTAGTTAATTTATGATGAAAGGCAACAGTCAGGTTGTTTGTACAACAATAAAGGAAACCCTGGGATACAGGGAGGTAAACGCAGATCCACTGAAGAGAGCAGGCAAAAAAATAAATAAATAAATAAATGTATGAGTTTCTTTAAAAAGTGTTCAATTAAACTGAAGTTGGACTGTATTTGCTGATTGTATTTAGACTTCATGCTTGTGTACTTATGCAACATCCTGTCAAAATCTTGCAAAAGTATACCTGTGATTAATGCTGTACAGTAAGACAAATAAAAACCTCAACACAATAGAATGTTTATTACATGACTATATGTGTATATGTTTGTATATGTGTATATGTATGTATATACAATGTGTATATATATACTGTATATGTGTATGTACATATAAATATATATGTATATAAATTATACAATTAAGTAAATATATAAGCAATATAAATAAATGCTAAATATAAGATTAATGTTAAATACTTTTCTGGTTTTCTTTTTGTTTTGTTTTTTAAGTCCAGTTTTCTCCCCCAGAAGAGTTTTTGTGAGGCGAAATTACCAGCCAAAGGATGAAAAAAATGCAATTTATAGTCCAGAAAATAACGGTACTTCATTCAAAAATAATCCAGTCATATCCCTCTACTTTTTTCATTAAAATATAATCTGACAAAAAAAAAAAAAAAACAGGTCGTTCAGGACTCTAATACTAAGAGAATAAAGTTTAATAGAGTAGTTTCATTTCAAAAGTTTAATGATCCTTCAGCGATGGCACGGTATTACCGGCTGATACCGGCCGACCGGTGCTCGGTACAAAAAAGGTTGTACCTATAAGAAAATCAAGAGGTCAAATGTCACTAAGCATACTTCTTATGTGCCAATAATTGCTTAAATTTCCATTCCTGTTGTTAAGCCATTTAGTTTATGAAACACGAGTTGTCGGTTTGCGTAAGGAAAAAAAAAGATTTTACCATTTCAATCAAACTGTGCCTTATTTACAGAATGTTCGCTGCTCAAACAGGACAAATTTGGAATTTTTTGAATAAATAAAAGCATATTAATACATGCTTAAAATGTGCTACTTGCATCAATAGCGTGTACCCTAATGCATTATCAAAATTATCACTATCTGAGTCAACTATTTTTTTATTTTATTTATAATAGCGTGTACCCTAATGCATTATCAATACGATCAATATCCGTGTCAACTATTTTTTTTATTTCATTTACAAGGCCAAGCTCTTGAAAGTCAGTGAATCAACATTTTTTTAATAAGTATATTAAAAATATATACACCCATAGCTCAAAGAAAAAACTGAAAGTCAGTGAATCAACATTTTTTTATAAGTATACTAAATATATACACCCAAAGAAAAATTATATTTTGGTTGCTTAAGCATACAATATTCATAGATTTGTGATGACCACATGATATCATCATATTTTTCTGGAACAGTCCCTAGAATTATGTGGTGAGATTCTGCTCTTCCTCATCACACAGTCTGTTCTTCTTCTTCTTCTTTTTCTTTTTCTTTTTATTGTCACCATGCAGGTCGACGCTCTCCTCTGGACCTTCTTTTTTTGCGGCAGGTGAAAGCTTTTCTTCTTCTCCTTCTTCTTCGTGTTGCTCTGTCCTGTTCTTGCTCTTCCGTTTCCTTTTTCTTTCGTGACAAACAACTGTTTTACCACCGTCCACCGGGACCTCATCCTGAGACGATTTGTCATCGGTATCCACAGGTTTGGATTTCCTCCTGGGTTTGACATCTGGTTTCGGAATTTTCGGAGCGTTTCCAGCCATCTCTTCAGGCAAGTCAGAGAGTGATGAAACTCGTGTCGGACCTTGTTTATCACAAACCAATGAGCTGCTTGAGTGTTTGGCCCGGTTGCCATATTTAGCCATAAACTCCGCCTCCTGCTGCTCCAGCCTAGCTAACTTGGCACTCATGTTAAAACCATGTCTGGCCCCTCTAAAAAAACAAAAGAGAAACAAAAAATTAGATAATATCTGTTTTTATCATTTTACTGGGGGAAAAAAAAGCAGCCGAAAAAAAAAAAGTCAATGATATCAACTTACTTGTGAGCTGTGCGTCCTCCGCAGACTTTTATCAAATCAGCATCAGAAAGCCTGTGTGTAAAGAAAGCTCTTTTTAAAAACAACCAAAGGAGGGGGGTTTTTTTCCCCAGCTATCCAATTTCTGAAATCTGATTTCGATTACAATTTTGGCTTCCCACGATCCTGAAAACAAATTGAATTGCGTGATGTCGATGCAGCAGTATGCCCTACAGTGGTGTGCTGCGTCAAACACAAACAGCAGTTTCACTTTCAGCACATTTCGTGAGAAAAGAGAGAAGAAGCGAATTCTCAAATCAATGAATAATCCTTTGGAATAATCGTGATATCAGTAAGAATAAAAATAATCGTGATTATGATTTTTGCCATAATCGAGCAGCGCTAAACAACTCATAATAATAATAATATGGTTTTTGAACCAAGAAGCAAAGGGGGGACCGAGTCGTTGCTTTGCAAGTCACAAGTAGGTCTCAAGTCTTTGCACTCAAGTCCGAGTCAAGTCTCAAGTCAGAGCAGGCAAAGTCCGAGTCGAGTCTCAAGTCAAGACTGAAAAGTGTCAAGTCAAGTCCCAAGTCCTGCCGTTTCTGTCCTTTTAAATAAAATAATAATATATTTACACGGATCACTTTGGGTTTTGGAGAAAGTATCAAGTCTTGTCGAGTCAAAGGGCTCGAGTCCAAGTCAAGTCACGAGTCATTGATGTTAAAATCCAAGTCGAGTTGCAAGTCTCTTTACATTTGGTCAAGTGGAGTCTAAAGTCATCAAATTGATGACTCGAGTCTGACTCGAGTCCAAGTCATGCGACTCGAGTCCACACCTCTGCCAAGACATCACCAACAATCAAGCTTCTACTGAGAACTTTTTTTAGGTGTGCATACATCCAGTGTAAACTTACTTGGTGGTGCTGGAGAGGTCCAGTTTATTGTCATCCTCATCTGAGCTACTGTCGTCATCTGAAAGGGATGATTTTGGCTCCGGCTGTTCTTGACCAGACAGCAGTGTGGCCGACTGAGAAAGAATACACACACATATACCCACAGGCAGATTTTAGTGCCACGCTGGTACTCTATATACGGTACCGTAGTTTCTGGACTATTGAGCGCACCTGAATATAAGCCATACCCACTAAATAAAAAAAATAATTTAATTGTACATATATAGTATAGGCCGCACTTGTCTATAAGCCTCAAGTGTCCACGTTGTAACGTGATATTTACGCAGAATTTTTTTTTTTTTTTTTTCGACCAGTGCCTGTAACCTGGACTTTGTGCTTGTCCGCAGCAGAGGTACATAGAAACAAGGAATTTTCTGGAAGTCTTTATTATCAGCCGCGCCGAGCACAACAGAACATAAACAGCTCCTGTATAATTAACTCACGCTTTAACATGCCCAAACTGCTCTCAACTTTCGTTACAGTCCTCTCTCGTGCAAAGTTGAAATCTTGTGGAAAAAAGGTCAACAGAAACAGGGAAGTTTCTGGAAATCTTTATCATCAGCCGCATCGAGCACAACTGAACATAAACAGCGTTTTAACAGCTCCTGTATAACCAACTCATACAACATGACAGAGCCCAAACTGCTCTCAAATTTCATTACCGTCCTCTCTCGTGAAGAGTTGAAATTGTGTGAAAAAAAAAAAAACTGGCGTATATTCCGGAAATTATGGTGACTCTATAAATAAGAAATTCAAGGATGTAGGACAGAGCAGTGTGACTAGGTTTGCCTTTAAAAAAAAAGTTGAAATTGTGTGAAAAAAAAAAAAACTGGCGTATATTCCGGAAATTATGGTGACTCTATAAATAAGAAATTCAAGGATGTAGGACAGAGCAGCATGACTAGGTTTGCCTTTTACTATTTTTTTTTCCACTTAGGATTCTTTTAAAATGCAATGAACTGGCAGGCAGTGTTATATACAGTAGGTGGCGTAGCTCTGCTGGGAGTTAGCTGAAGTGCCTTTTGTGTGCAAGCTCAAACAGGGAAAATTGTATATTTTGAAAAATGTATTTATTCGAAAAGTTGTTGAACTAAAGAGTGAGAACAGTTTGGGGGAAATGTTTCATAATTCTTAATGAGAATAAATACATTTTAAATTTATTTGTGGACACTATCAATAAAAAAAAAAAAATGGAACTCAGAATCAGAATCAGCCAAAAAATAAATTGCAATCAGTGCACCTCTAGTTTGAACACTTCTCCATTAGATTTTGCACAAGCAGTTACCATTACTGTATGAGTCTAACACAGAGAGCCAAATCAACCAAATAATAACCAACCAAATAACTCTTACCTTGACGAAACATCCGTAAAGTTTGGCTTTTGCGTCTGCGGTTTTCCGTGTTTTTTTATTGGAAATCACATTGTCTCCATCGTCCTGCGCCGTCTTCTTGAACTTAATACCGTTCTAGAAAAATGACAAAATATTGCTTTTTTTTTTTTTTTTTTTTTTTAGACAAATATGACTTCAAAACAGATGTTACCCTTAAAGTAATTGATTGGACAACAGGTGACTCTGCTGGGAGTAATGTAAGACATACTTGATCAGACTCCACCTGCAGACTGGAGGAGGCCTTGTTGAACACATGATCCCACCAGTGGTAGGTAAACTGCTCTCCTTCCTTGTGGCCAACCTGGAGATAGACAACAACAAGTCAGACTAGTCAGACTTCAAACAGAACCATTTAACTATGTTCATTATTATATTATTATTATCAATGTACCCAGGTCCCCAGCCTTTTTTGTACCAAGGACCGGTTGGCTGGTACCAACCGAGCCAAATGTTGAAGCATCATTAACTTTTCATAATAAAATATCTTTTAGACTTCCAAGTCTGAACGACAAATTATTTTTTGAAATATTACCAGATTATCCTTAAATGAAGAAAGTAAACGCACATGACTGGATTCTCTTTGAATGAAGTAAATTAAGTAAAAAGTGCCCCACTGTGGTCGAGTACCAAATGACCTATGGTCCAGTACCAGTTTGTGGACCGGAGGTTGGAGACCCCTGCCCTAAAGTATTGTCTAAACATGAAGAAGTGACCAGTGGCCCATATTTGACCTTTAACATTTAAATATCCTCATGCCATCTAAGCCCACTCACCCCTCCTTTGTCGCACTTTACTTTGACCTTGATAGCTTCTGATATTCCATTCTCAGATCTGCCCAGACCTTTACCTGAAGAGAGGAAAAAAAGTTTCACATATCATTTCATATTAGGACTTCTGAACTAGCCTCGCACTAAATTCCTGGGGGCGCACATCAATGAGGACCTCTCCTGGACCACCAACACTGCATCACTGGCAAAGGAAGCCCAGCAGTGCCTCTACTTTCAAACGGGCAAGTGCTTCACCACCTGTCATGACCACATTCTACAGAGGAACAACTTCAATCCTTTCCAGCTTTAAATTTGCACTTTATTATATACTATGTGGTATAGTTTTGTTGTGCTGTACTGGCATATTACAGCCTACCTTTTTGCACTTCCTGTGATCGTACTTTTGGTGTAAGGTTCACACTGACAACCATATTACAGTTTCATTTTTATATAGAATAAACTAGTAATTATTGTTTGGGCCTTCATGCTTTGAACTCAACTAACTTTGCAAGTGATGCAGTGTAGCACGTTTTTTAAAAAAAATATTATTATTGTGTTTAAAGATTTAAACGAATGAAATGGTTTTAATTTAGAGTGAATACCGTATGTTTACAAAAAATAGTTTAGTTAAATTGATGCATTGTTAGAAAATAGCCATTAGTCTTACCATGTTCCCATCCATGACGCAGAAGCTGCTGCTCTGCAAAGTTCGTGGCACGACTTTTCTTCTGAGCCTCTGCCATCGTAACAGCTGTATTATCTGATAATGTTAGCTTGGTGGAAAATGACAGTGGCCGAGGGAAGAAAATTTGCAGAAGAGTCCAATAAATATTTTAGCATAGCAGCAACGTGTTGGGTTTAAATCGTGTCGCAAATTTTAAAAGAAAAGTATACTATACTATATTTTCATTACGAACACCAAAGAAACACGCTACCTCGTATTATCCCGTTGCATTAAAACGTCTTCCCTTTAAGACGTAGTCATATCTTAAACTCGACGATAGTCTGTATCCACGTGCCTTCACCGGTTTCTTCGGCTGCCGTTTCTTCTTCTGAATGCTTTAACGGCAGCTGGCCACCCTGTACGTCTCACTGCTGCCCTCTATTGGGATAACTTTCGTTAGAATGTTTGTTTTTGTCGATTAGGTTCTGTTGATCTTAGGAACTTCCGCCTTCCGCCTCTCAGTGCACACACACCGCCAGAACACAATTACTGGATAAAGTAATTCGATAAATAAAAATAAATAAATAAAAAAACACGAGGAAACAAAATAACGAGTAAAAAAAGTGAAACTAACTTTCGTGTTCAGTATTGTGTAAATATTCTGAATGCCCTGGCAGCTCCCACAATAGAAATAAGGTTCTTTGAAGAAGACAACAGTGCAATATAGTACTAAACGAATTAAAGGTTTGGTATTCGTTCTTTTTTTTTATTATTTTTAAGACACAGCACACGCCCCAACCTATGCTTTTTTCTTAATTGACTCCATTTGTTATTTTAACTGATTCTTTGTTTGTTTTTGAGTTCTTGGACCCAGCGCTTCTTCCAGCAGATGGCGCCCCAGACAACCGAATAGGTGGCTACGCGATGGGTTTGTCTTGTTGTAACACACTTGCAGAAAGTTCTAGTGTAGAGACACTGAAATCTTTTCTTAGATAGATAGATAGATAGATAGATAGATAGATAGATAGATAGATAGATAGATAGATAGATAGATAGATAGATAGATAGATAGATAGATAGATAGG